CCGTCGAGATCGCCGCCAGCCGCCGCCGGACGCGCCGCCACGCGCCGCCACAAGGTTGCAGTTGCTGGAGCTTGTCGGAGCGCGTGAGAGCGCGTGTGAACTCCGATTTCGGATCGGTCAACGCCGTTGACTTCGCCGTGACGTCAGCTTTCCGGATTGGTCAAGTTTGTTCGATTCCGAGAAGATTTGATTTGCGGTCAACTGTCCGGGCCAGCCAGATCTACATAAATTTTTAAGCAGTAAGTTTTCTTCATCAAACCTTTAGATCCGCTGCGCATAGGTTTATATTGAATGTTTGTCTGTGATTTGTGCATATCGAGATCCTCGTGGGTTCCAACATGATGGACCATGAGTTCTACCACTTGCAGTAGGGCAGCTCCACAGTGGACGAGTATATCCGTACCTTCACCCGGATGTGCCTTTTCGCGGGCGACTCAGTGAATACCGATGCCAAGAAGGCCCACAAGTTTCTTAAGGGGCTCAATCAAAGGATCCGTGAACTGGTGGGGAGTCACGAACTGATGTCTTTCACAGATACTGTCAGTCGAGCTCAGGAGGTAGAGAGTTGTCTCATCCCGATAGCTCCGGTCCCTTCATATTATCATGCTTCCCTGCCTTCTCAGACCGTTGTTCAGCATGCTCAACCCATCTCATTTGTGCCGCCCGACTCTAGTTCGGAAAGAGGAAGGCAAATTCCCACCAGGATAGCTGGAAGGGTAAGTGAGGAGGTCCCGAACGGTGCAATCATCCCTCCTCTGGCAACCGAACCTGCAAGAAATGTGGAAAGTACCATAGTGGCGAGTGCTTAGCCGACCAGCGAACCTGTTTCAACTGCAACCGTCCGGGCCATTATGCCAGTGTCTGTCCGGAGCCCAAGAGGCAGCATCACTTCCCTCAGCAGCAGCAGCTTCCCCCACCACCACCTCATCAGCAGCACCAGCCCCCACCGTTCCAGCAGAGGGCTGGGGGTCAGGCCCGAGTCTATACCATCACCCATGATGAGGCCGACCGCAATGCAGGTACCATGTCCGGAATGCTTTCGATATCCCATGTGCCTGTCTTTGCTTTACGTGATACCGGTGCTACCCATTCGTTTATCTCTTCTCGTTGTTTGGAGGCCTTATCTATTAGCACCGTGCATGCTTGTGATCCTCTCGAGGTTAGTTTGGCTTCGGGAAAAATTATTATCTCTGATTCAGCGGTTCGCAATCTTCCTATCTGTATTGGTGGTCGAGTTCTAGAGGCCGACGTCTATGTAATTGATATGCGAGACTTTGACGTGATCTTGGGCATGGACTGGCTCACCCGTTACCGAGCCGACATCCGGTGCCAGGAGCGCGAAGTCACCCTCTATCTCGTTTCCGATCAGCCTGTTGTGTTCTTTGTGGTGAGTTCGAGAACTGTTCCTCGGGTCATCTCTTCTATGCAAGCTAGGAAGAGCCTTTCCAAGGGTAGCTATCAAGGCTATCTTGTTTCAAAGGTATCCGATGATGTTGATGAGCGGGTGCCCGAGAGAGTATTTATTGTTTGCGAGTACCTCGACATTTTTCTGAATGACTTACCCGGAGGACCGCCAGACCGCCAGGTGGAGTTCACCATTGACCTAATTCCAGGAGCCGGTCCCGTTTCTAAGGCCCCTTATCGTATGGCACCGAAGGAGCTTCAAGAGCTCAAGGCCCAGATCCAGGAGTTGCTTAAGCTCGGTTTCATTCGTTCGAGTGTCTTGCCATGGGGTGCACCCGTCCTATTCGTAAAGAAGAAAGATGGATCTATGCATATGTGCATTGACTACCGGGAGTTGAATGCCCTTACAGTCAAGAACAAGTATCCCCTTCCCCGTATTGAGGACCTTTTCGACCAGCTGAGAGGAGCTAGCGTCTTCTCAAAGATTGATTTTCGTTCTGGCTATTATCAGCTGAAGATCCGGGAGTCGAATATTTCCAAGACTGCTTTCCGTACCCGCTATGGCCATTATGAGTTCGTAGTCATGCCATTCAGACTCAGCAATGCCCCGGCCGTTTTCATGGACCTTATGAATAGGGTCTTTCATCCCTTCCTGGACCAGTTCATTATTGTGTTCATCAACGACATTCTGGTCTATTCCCGAGATATCGATCAACACAAGGAGCATCTGAGGATTGTGCTGGAGACTCTTTGCCGCGAGAAGTTGTATGCTAAGTTCTGAAAGTGCGAATTCTGGTTGAACCGCATGGCATTCCTTGGCCACATTGTGTCAGCACGAGGCATTGAGGTGGATCCCAGCAAGATTGAGGCAGTGAGCAAGTGGGATACGCCGAGAGGTGCCGCTGATGTTCGTAGTTTTCTGGGGTTAGCAAGATACTACAAGACGTTTATCGAGGGCTTCTCGAAGACAGCCCAGCCACTGAACAACCTTACGAAGAAGGCCGTGAGGTTTGTATGGAGTCCAAAGTGTGAGGAGAGTTTCCAGGAGTTGAAGAGGAGACTCACTACCGCACCAGTCCTATCCATACCCGACCCTACTTTAGAGTTCACTATCTATAGTGATGCTTCGAAGATGGGTTTGGGATGTGTCCTTATGCAGCAGGGGAAAGTCGTAGCCTATGCTTCGAGGCAGCTGAAGTCTCACGAGCAGAACTACCCCACTCATGATCTCGAGTTAGCTGCAGTTGTCCACGCCTTGAAGATTTGGCGTCACTATCTCTATGGAGGCAAGTGTGAGATCTTTACCGACCACAAGAGCCTGAAGTACATCTACACTCAGAGGGAGCTGAACATGAGGCAGCGCAGATGGTTGGAGCTGGTCAAGGACTACGACTGCACCATTAGATATCACCCTGGGAAAGTTAATGTGGTAACCCGATGCCCTTAGTTGGAGGAGTTATGGCCAACTATCTTGCTTGTTTACCGGGCAGGATGTTCTTCTTCGGGAGTTCGAGCGATTACAACTAGAGGCAGTAGAGTCGACTTAGACAGTCGGGGGCGTATTGGCCTCTTTTGCTGTAGGACC